AAAGAAATGTCACTTGAAATCTCACCACCCAGACTAATGTGTTAACATCTTAGTCTATGTGTTTTATGGAATAAACATTTCCCCAATGTTACTGATTCTGTTTTGAAAAAGGTACTATTTTTTGGGGGGAGTATTTTAGGGTATAAACTTGAGGATAGAATTCCCTTATGAGACAAGGCTTATGGGTTGCAAAACACAAGTGTTGTTCATTCTTTATTAATGCATTTAAGAAATATTTTTTGGATCCCTACAACCTTGGGGACACAATGCTAAGAACTGACTCTGTCTTTGTGGAGTTTACAGCATAGAAAAAGAGATGGACATTACTTAGATGATCATAGAAAGAGCTGTAAAACTACATCTGAAATAAGTGCAATACTATGAAGGAGAAATGTGAGGTGCTCTGAAAGTGTACATCGGAAAGAAGGGAAGTTGTCACAAAGGTCTGGGAATACTTGCTTGAGTCAGTGATAATTGAACTCACCACTATAAGAGTTAACTAAGTACAGAAGATGAGAAAAAACTTTGCTAATAGAGGAAACAGCACATTCAAAGACCTGTTAGTAGGAGTAGGCATGGTGAATACAAGCAACTGGAAGAAAATCAAGGAGAATGAAGTGAAGAGACTTGGCCAGTAATGAGGTTGTAGAAATAGGTAGAGTCTAACTGCAGGTCCTCTTAGACCAGGGGAAGAATTATTGTCATTTTTCATAAGAATGCTGTGCAACAGTTGAAATGTGTTTGTACAGCTGTTTAAGTGTTGAAGCCAGAGCAGGGGAGGTAAAGCACAGATCTCATTTTTCAAAAGGTCCGCTTCATTGCAATATGGTGAAGAGGTTGGAAGGAAACAAGAGCAGGTGCAGGTAAACTTGGTCTAGGTGACTGGTAGCCCAAGCCTAAAGAGAGGGTGATTGCAATAGTCCAGGAAGGAGATGAAGGAAGACTGGATCAGGATGGTAGAGAAGGAGAGGAGTGTGGTTTTGACAGATATTTTGGGAGGAAGATACGTGTGACTTGACATGTGAGATGAAGAAACGGGATGGATCTGGAGTGACTCCTACTTCTCTAGCTTGCATAACTGAATGGAAGGAGGGTTCTTCCCCAAGACAGAAAACATTGGATGAGAACAGGGTTTGGGAAGGGCAATTCCTGGGGTAAAGTCTCCCAGAGGGAATAATTCTAAGACCGATACATATCATCACACTAACTCCTTTCAGAGGTGGATTTTGCCACATTTTTACATCATACAGAAGCATCCTGTACTGGGGAGAAAGCCAACACTATGGCTAAATTTTGTACCTCAATACCTATGTAAGGTTACTGCACTACTGCTTGCTGGGTGTAAAACATAGAGTGACTCATTTTAAGGGGCTTGGGCCTTAGTTTCATTGCCGTTAAAATGAGGATAATAACAGTTCAAAGGGTTGTTGTGAGAATTAAATGAGAGCATTGATAATCAAAGACTCTAACCCCCCACAAGCAGTACAAATACAATATAATTGTTATTTCTACTACATTTGCTCTGGCTATTATCACCAACCAAACTTCAATTATATTAATATTAGGAATATGAAATTTAATGTTTTCTTCTTGAGTTCTTTGGAAAAAATGGTGTGATTGAAATCTAAACAAATATGCACACCACCTAGGAGTGAGAGATGGTAGCCCCAAACTATTTATAAGCTTGAATGTTTACTTGAATTCAGAATTTCCCAAAATGTAAATCATGCAGCATCTGTGTCAAAGCAGAGCACTCTGTGTTCCTAAAAAGAATTCTCTTTCCCCCCCAGTCCTTTACCTTTTAAAATAAATCTCATTATGGAGTGCTGACATTTTCAATAAAACCATTCAACCAAAAGCTGTGTTTTTTTTCAGATTAAAAACAAGTCTGGTTTATTAGGCAGCAGCTTATAACTTGCTGCTAAGTAGATGCAATCTATTTAGAGAAATTTATGTAGATATTTGGTAAGACATTTCAGTCTCCTCTTTCTGACTAAGACTGAGAGTGTTAAGCAGATCATTAGGAATTCTCTCCTTCACTCAGTGAAGTATTGCAGTGTTGTCGAAGTAGATGGAAACTTCTGAACCAAGATTTAAAGCAGACCTCTCAGACTCTGCACCACTATATCTACTAGCATGTTCTGACTAAGTGGTGGTTTTATTTTTTGAAAATAATTTTTATTAAATTCATTGGGGTGACATTGGTTAATAGTATCATATAGATTTTCAAGTATACATTTGCATGACACTAGATCTGTATAGCGCACTATGTGTCTACCACCTAAAGTCAAACCATCTTCCCTCACCATATATTAGGCCTCTCCATCCCCCATCCCCTTCACACTGGCAACTACCACATTGCTGTCTGTGTCCACAAGTTTCAGTTTTACATTCCACATATGAGTAAAATCATATGGTTCTTAGCCTTTTTCTGACTGACATTTCACTTAGCATGATATTCTCGAGGTCCATCCATGTTGTTGCAAATGGCAGTATTATGTCTTTTCTCATGGCTCAGTAGTATTCCATTGTGTAGATGTACCACATCTTTTTCCAGTCCTCTACTGAAGGACACTTTGGTTGTCTCCATGTCTAGGCCACCATGAATGATGCTGCAATAAACATAAGGGTGCATATATCTTTGCAAATACAAATTTTTTGAGGTTTTTGGGTAGATACTCAGGAGAAGGATTGCTGGGTATTATGGTAACTCTATTCTTAATTTTTTGAGGAACCGTCAGACTCTTTTCCATAGTGGCTGTACCAGTCTACATTCCCACCAACAGTTAATGAGGATTCCCTTTTCTCCACATCTTCTCCAACACTTGTTATTACTTGCCTTGTTGATAGTAGCCATTCTAACAGTGTGAGGTGGTATCTCATTGTAGTTTTGATTTGCATTTTCCTAATAGCTAGTGAGGTTTGTTTGCTTGCTGTTGAGTTTTATGAGTTCTTTATATATTTTGGATATTAAACAAAGAGGTAACTGACTGAATGGGAGAAGATATTTGCAAACAACAGTTCTGACATAAGTAGTGGCTTTAGATATGACTTACTTCAAAAGGTTGTTGAAAAGTGTAAATAGTTATACATATACACATAAAAGCCAGGATATAATAGGACCTCCACCAATGATCTCATCCTTCTTATCTTTCTTCTGCTTCTTCTTCTTTCTTTGTCCTTCTCCCTTTTTCTTTCCTTCATGTCTCCTTTTACTTCTCTTCTCATTGATTTAACTCTTCACTTTTTCTTTAGATTATACTGAGAAATGGCTTAAATTATATGATAACCCATATTAGGTTTCCCAAAATTATTTAGTGACTTAAGTACCTGTCAGTGATAATAACAGTAAATTTATAGAACACTGATTGAGAATCAGGTCTCTTAATCCTCTCCCAAAACTAATGAAATAGATACTAGTCTTGTCTCCATTTCACGAATAAAGGACATGAGCCAAGGACAGATGATAGAGCTGAAAGTTTCCATCTCTGTCCTCACCCAGCCCAAAGGTCTCCAAAATGATTATGAATGTCACTCACTTATTTACTCTACAGATACTTGTTCAGTGCAGGGTATTTGATAGGGAGTGCATAGCGTGAGTAACCCAACAGACACAATCTCTGACCTCATCAAAAATACGCACACACACAGAAAGTACACACACAGCATGCCTCACTGTCATTGCTTTACCCTCTTTATTATGGTGTTCATTCTGATTTGTCAGTGTCCATGTGGTACCTGTTACTAAACAACTTACGTACAATTTCTTCTTACAAATGGCGATAAGTACCATAAAGGAAAAAAGATCAAGGTGCTTTGAGGGAGTGTAATAGGGGGCCAAGTTAATATAGGAGAAATAAAATCATCTTTGGATGAGGCATTTGAACCATGACTTGGACAATGAGTTTTCTCAGCCTGCTATGAGATGATACTTGGAAGAGGCCAGACCATTCAAGGGCCTGTAGTCCTGTTAGGTAACTTGGATTTGATCTAAGATCAAAAAGAGGCTATTTAATAAGGTTAACAAGGAGTGATACTATTCCCTTTGTATTTTCAGAATAGCACGGTGGTTACTGTGCATGGATGGGAGTGGGGTTCACATGTTATCTTTATATTAGATTGATTCTGTGTAGTGGAGATTCAGATATAAGACAATCACAAGTCACCCTGTTTAGTCTCTTAGGGAAGACCGAAAACATGTACTAAAACAATTCTAATAAACATGATGAAGTGCTATATACTGAAGGCTATAGTAAACAGACAGGAAAAGTGCTGTGGGTGAAAGGAATTAAAGACCATGCTTTGTTTCTCTTAACCAGAAGCCATTGTTTTGATTCCTTCTCATTCTTTCTGTTGGAGAGAACACTCAGAATTTTCTATGCATTCACTGAAAGGCTATCAAGTATGAAGAAAAACAATTCAATAAAAACTTATCTAGTGTTTAGTTTGTCCTTGGCTCAACAGGATCCCACTCTTCTTATTCCACTGTATTTCTCCCACAAGGATGTGATAGGATGGATGAGCTTAAGATCGTGATGGCTTGGGTATCAATGGACCTATGTTCAAGTCTCCATTTTATCTCCAGTCTAATGGATAAAATTTGTGGTGCAGAACAAAGAGATGCTTTTGGTGTCCTTGAAGGAAGATGCACTTTCATGAAGGTTTTCTGGAGAACTAGGAAGACATGGAGGGGCATGAAACAGTTTACTCCCAACATAATAAATGCAAACTAGCTATTCCCCTAATAGAGCCCATCATCAGTAATCATCTTTGAGCTCGGTGGCCATAAAACATTTCCCTGTAGTCTTCCACCCTTCTCCTACCTTGATCGTGGAGCCAGACTGAGAGAGAGAAGAGATGGTCTTCCTCATCCCCTCTTTTTACTGAATGATCAAACCTCACCATCTTCTGTGTTACTAGAGATGTTTCAGTAAATGTCATTATCTTTACCTTGGAAAGATTATGCCATCAACTACATTTCTCTGTGATGATTCTTACAGGATAGATCACTGGAACAATGAGAAGGAGAGGATTTTGGTGGTCACAGACAAGACTCTCTTGATCTGCAAATATGACTTCATTATGCTCAGCTGTGTGCAGTTGCAGCAAATTCCCCTGAGTGCCATCAATCGCATCTGCCTGGGCAAGTTTGCCTTTCGTGGGATGTCCCTGGACAAGTGAGTATGATGTCTTAGACTTGGAAAAGTGGTGCAGTGGGGTGGAACATTTAGGGAAAACAAAGTTCATTTCAATTTTGTAAGCTGGAAGAACCCAGGGGAGAACTGTGAACTTTTACAGTTGAATTCATCAATCATTGAGTTCTTACTCTGTATTAGACAGGGATAAATTTTTGAGTAAGTTTTTACTTTATTATGAAAACCTGACAAGTAAATGGTTAAATGTAAGGTGGAAAGAGCTGTGGGAGCATGGTAGGAAAGGTTCTCAACCAATTTCTTGGGAAGAGAATCAGCCAAAGAAGGAGAGCAAAAGTTCAAGAACATTCCAAGTAGAAGGAACAGCATAACCAAAGGAATAGAGGTAGAAAATGTATAGTGCTTTTGGGAATTAAAATTATTCATGGACAGAATTCATGGTGACTAATAGCACTTCTTAAAAGAAGTCTCTTTGGATGTTCTCTGAAAGCTCAGTGGAGGAGACATCAATTGCCTCAGAGATGTTGAGTTACCAAGAGACCAGGTGAGGTCTACAGGGGAGGATGGCCGAAATGAGTCAGATCTTGGTATGGTCTGAGAGAGAGAGATTTAGAATTAATATTTTAGAAATAAGCCAGAAAGACAGCAGTCTTCCTCTGACCTCTGACTGTGAACTCTTCCCATTCAACTGTGGACTCCTTGAAGGCAGGTGCATTTTTTTTTTTCTTTAAGCACCTGGTTTGGCACATAATAGGAAATGAAAAATCTTTCTAAAAGAGTGAGAAAAGCAGAGCTCGATCAGATTATTGGTTTTCCTTACATAAAACATACCATATCAAAGACCTATTTTTTATTTACTTTTGCATGGATGCAAAGAGTTAGTGATTAGTTTAGTTCACTAACTTTTTAAACTGGTGGAATTTTCCAAAAATATATGCACATTGTAAGCATATATTTAAACATCACAGAAAATGTTTATTTTCAGGAAATATTTCTCCCACTCCAGATTTTCAGTTCTCCAGAATTATCTTCATAGGTGATAGCAGTTTTGTGCTTTTAAAAAAAGAAGTAGTCTATAAATGTGTAAGAATAAAAATATCTTTGTATGGATATATGTGTGTTTGTACACATTTGTAATTATTTTTCACATATAAATTATCACAGATTATTTTACCCAATGAATATAGTTGTCATAAACTTTCTTGCCTCAAGCAATTTTACCCAATGATATACCTTGGAAACTTTATTATATAATCATCTATAGATCAACCTCAGTCTTTTTAATGGCATAGAATATTTAATTTTAAGCCTAATTTTATTTTATTTTAAAAAATAGTTAAATTTAATTTTCATTTAGAATTTACCTTAAGTAAGGGAAAACATATGCAGCCAACTTTTCTTTTACCCAGATGGCAGGCTAGATTTATCAATATCATTTATTCAACACTCCACCATTTCCCTTTTAATATATACTGTATTTATGTATGTTTGTGTCAACTTCTATACTCTTCATTTCCCCCATTTATCTATTTATTAAAGTACAATATGCCTTTAGTTATTGTAATCTTTATTTATGTTTTAATATCTGTTAGTCACTCCCCTCTTATCTTCTTTTTAAGGAATTTATGTTTATTTATTCTTATTTACTTTTCCAGCAGCTTGGATAATTTTTAAAAATCCTATTTTTATTATGATTTTCAAATATTAAATCAACGCTGCATTCCTCAGATTAACACATTTAGTCATGGAGTATTATCCCTCTCGTACATTTATGGATTTGTTTTGCCAATATTTCACTGTGGAGTTTTGTGCCTGTGTTCATAAGGATATTAGTCTATTATTTTCATTCTTCTGTTATGTCTTTGCCAGGTTTGGTATTTGGGTTATGTCAGATTCATAAAACAAGTTGGAATATGTTTTCTCCTCTTTTATTTTCTATGTAAGTGGTATTATCTCTTTTTGAATTTTTGATAGAATATACAAGAAAAATTTTCTGAGCCTGAGATATTTTTTGTGGGATAGTTTTGAATGATAGTTATTTTTTAAAGAAAATAAATATTGGGTTGCTCATTTTTTTCTTTGATTTTTGTGTTAATTTTGGTTAATTGTATTTGTCAAGAAATTTAAGTTTATTTACATTGATATATTTGAAAACAAAGTTGTTAATATTCTATTATTATCCCTTTAACTTCGCTACAATATTTAATGAAATAATTTTTTTTCCTGATATTCGTGATCTGCATTCTTTCTCTTTTTTTCTGTTGATTAGCTTACCAATTTTGTTGGTTTTAATCAAAACATGCTTTTCACTTTGCTAATTTGCACAATTGTCTCATTTCTAGTTAGCTGATTTCTTCAATTCTGTTCTTTATTTCCTTTTTTTCTCTTTACTTTTAGTTTATTTTGACTTTTTCTTTTTTTTTAAATTCTTAATTTGGAAGCCAAGGGCATTGATTTTAGGGTTTTCTACTGTTTTAATAAGATCATTGAAAGCTGTAAATTTTCTTCTGAGCACTGCTATGCTGCATCTCACAGATTTTCATGTGTTGTGCTTGTAGCATCATTTGGTTAAAAATATTTTCAACCTGGCCATGTGGCTCAGTTGGTTGTAGCATTGTCCTATACACCGAAAGGTTGTGGGTTTGATTCCTGGTCAGGGCACATATCTAGGTTGCAGGTTCAGTCCCCTGTTGGGGTGTGTATGGGAGGCAGCCAGTTGATGTTTCACTTTCACATTAATGTTTCTTTCTCTCTCTTTAAAGTCAATGAAAACATATCCTGGGGTGAGCATTAAAAATATATATGTATATTTTTCTATTTTTTCTTGTTATTCCTACTTTAGAAGTGTATTGGCAAATTTCCCAATATTTTGAATTTTCCTAGATACCTAATGTTATTGAATTTTAATTTAAAGAATATATTGTCTTTGATTTTACTCCTTTGTATATATGAGACTTGTTTCATTGACTAAACTATAATATATCTTTGTGAATATACCTTGTGCAGCTGAAAATAATTTTGTGTCTACTTTTCTATCAATTTTAATTAGTTCATAATTGTGTTTGATAGTGCTGTTGAGATTACGTGGGTGTTTATTTTACTTTTGTTACTTTACATTATGAATGTTAATCTTGTTGAATCTTTGTTTTAGGTTAAAAACTTTTCCAATCATCTCATTTAATGTTTTGTTTGTTTTGGTCTCGCCTGCTATTTCAAAACTTACATTCTTTTTCTTTGAATTTTCTTCATATATCTTTGCCTATATATTTTTTTACTTTGAACTTTCTGAGTCTTTTTATTTTCTGATGTGTTTTTCTATACAAAAATAATTTAATTTAATTTGTGATCCAACCTTGGATGTCTTTTCTTTTAATTGATAAGATGAATCTATTTACACATATTGATGCAACAGTTACAGTCTTAGTTATCCCATCTTAATTTTTGTATTATTGTATTTAAAATATATATGAATATATTTTCTATATTTCCTTTAGTTTCCATTGAGAGTGTTTGTGTGTGTACACATACCTATTTTATATATATGTGTGTGTATATATATATTTATTTATTTATTTATTTTTATGTTTTATTTTTTTATAAGAATCCTTAGAGTCTATCTTTTCTTGCTGATGATTCTAAGTGTAACTTAGCATAGAATTTTTAACCTATATTTTTCCAATATTACCTACTGGCTCCCTGGGATAAACCCATTTATATTGACAGCCCGCTTCTCCATCATTTATTTTTAGTTGTTTATAATTATGTTATTAGTTACTTCTATCATAACTGATTTAAATAATATGCTTACACTAATATGCCATCTTAAATAGTGTATATTAAGCCTCCACTCTAAAAAGCAAGTAATCTGCCCATTCATACTAATTCCCACATTCCTGAATCCTTCACTTTCCTTCCTTCCTTAGTTTTACCAAGCAAATTTCATTTTTTATGGTATATTTCATCTTATTTCCCATGAGGCACCCAATTATTACCACAGGGAGTCGATGTAATTCCAGCCCTCCTAATTAACTTGCACAGCTTTATCCAGATTTGCATTCTGGGGTTAGAACAGGAAAGGCTGTGCCAGCAGCTGGCAAGCTGTTAAGTGTTAAAGGGCGGTCTCTGAGTCCCTAGAGGTATGAACATAGCGTGGTGAAGGGGTGGTTTTTATGTTCCACTCAGATTTTTAACAAACTTTCATAGTAGAATTTTGGGCTCAGAGTAGAGCCCTGGATTTCAGTCACAATTTTATAATCGTTAACTTTGCTTCCTCATTATCAAAGGGTCATTCATATTAGTTGTCATTCTACTTCATTAGCAGTCTTATTGTAAGGCTCTAATGAGATAGCTTGAAAACACTTTTTAATATGCCTCAGAGATATCAGGTGTTAACAAGTTCTGATTTTCTCTCAGATAAAAGCCTTTGTTAACATGGAACTAAGTAGATTAATTTGATTATCTTCATTTCCAAGTCAGTTGGTTCTTCTTGGTTGGGCATTAGGTCACCATCATAAGGTCAGAGGTGAGAAAAAGGAGGAAAAGGTGAAGGAAAATCAGCTGCTAAATAATTGCAGGCTGACTTCAGAGGGAAGTCTGGACTTAGTCTGAGCAAATCTCCTCGTTATAAGAAAATGCAATGATGTAACATTAGCACCCGATATAGCTGTAGGGGGTAATACTGGCAGTGTTTCCCAAGAGATTTTTACCTCCTCTGTGCCATTGATCTTCAACACCCAAGAATAAGTAGGGCTGATTGACTACGTATTAGAGATAAGACAAGTGAGACCAAAATGAGGTCAGGGATTCAGGAACCATCAGGCAATTAGTATTAGAACTGGGTTTCAAAATCAATTCTTCTGATTCCCTGTTTAGTATTCTTTTCTTTGAATAAGTAATATTTTATCATTTTCTTTCTCTGTCCCTCCCTTTTCCTTCCCCTTCCCCTCCTTTTCCATCTTCCTTGCCTGTTCTTCTTTTTCTCTATGATCTTGCCTGTTTTGTCATCTTCTCACCTCTTCTTTCCT